TGTACAAAATTATTTATCATAACTGAAGTTTATAAATGTAAGTAGTAAGAGAGCGTTGTGGTATGAAAGATGATATAATGACCAGGATAAGGAGGGGGATGCTTCGATGGTTTGGTCACGTAGAAAGAATGAATGCTGGTAGATTGACGGCACAAATTTATGGAGTGATTGTGAATTGAGGCGTGAGGAGAAGTAAACCTCGGTGTACATATATCAATTAGATAGGGGATGTCCTTAAAAAAGGCAGGGTACCAAGAATAAGACTGATGGAAGGAGGCGAAGGAATTTTCAAATTCACGGTCTCTGCCTACCTCAGTGGGTGACAGGCGTGATGATATGTGAAAATGTATGAAAATAGTAAGTAGTATTTTTCGTGTCGTATACATACGTTAATCTGGCCGAATAGTTTATTATAAGACCGAAATACTATTTGTTGTTACACTAGAAATAATTATTTTGTCGTAAATTTATTATGCCAAAAGTCAATGGCCAAATACGATAATTTCGTAATCTCAATGGAAATATCTAATAATACCACAAAGTGATAATGACATTGTAATATCTCATAAACTTGTACAAAGAAATTTGCCAACGCAATTTCTCGAATACATTTATCACCCAAAGTCACATTTATAAAATATGTTTCAAAACAAATAGCTTTGTATGTCGGATAATCAATTACGGTGAATACTATATTAAACTGGATACAAGGATTTTCTTCGTATTTACAGAGATGACTGCTTTCAATCTGTTGATATTTCTCTGATCCGGTGACAAATAAACGGATATCTACTATATCAATATCATTTATTATTTGATATTCTTGATCTACACATACAATAAATTTTTGTATACGTTGTTGATAAGTTGAAAAAATATAGATCACTACCTACTACTATCATTCATTATGTACATACATCTTTACGTACTTCAACATTATTTGAGGCAAAAGAGGTGTAATTCCTAAATTGCGTCAAGGTGTGATATTGAAAATAATCGTGTGGTTTCAGATCAATTTCATGAAGCACGATTGAAAAATACATTTTTGAGAGCAATGTTGAACGTTGTTTTAAAAGCAAATATTTCAAATATTGTCTTGTCTATACCGATCCAAGCGACCGCGACAGACCGCCAGTCTTGCCGCTGTTTTTAATACGATATCGGTTGCATTCTGGTACTTAATACAATTGTGTGTAACTATTAATCCAGAAGTTTGTTATAATAATTAATACAAAGATCGAACACTCAGAAAAAACACTCAGAAAAAATTCCTTCGATCCGGTCGGATTCGAACCGACGTCTTCTTGCATACCGTGCCAGACGCTACACCAACTAAGCCACGGAACGAACCAACGGACCTCACGAATTTTACTATGTGCTTGCGTCGTGTCTTTGTACTTGGTCTTTCAACAAAGTCAAAGTCAAAGTCAAAGATGATTTATTCCATAGGTAAAATAAATTTACACTTGAAAACGTCACATTTAAGGTACTGCTCGTTCACTACGCTGACCTCCCTGAGAAGAACGAGCAAGAAACTCTAGGGATTGCTCTTTTCAAATAAACTTAAATGCTATGGAATACATTTTGAATCAAATTTGTGTGGATTCTGGAGCCATGTCGTCTTTCCATACATCTTTATCTAACACGTAGTCTTCAATTTTGTAATATGATTTTTCGATCAAAATATTTTTAATGTAGTTTTTAAACTTAGGAAATGATAAACTTAATATATGCTCCGGAATCTTATTGTAAAAACGTATACAGTTCCCCATAAAAGAGTTGTTTACCTTGGTTAAACGAAATCGTGGTACCATGAGTTTGGACTTAGCTCTAATGTTAATATTATGGATATCTTCTTTCTTATTGAAATTATGTATATTTTTACGGGCATATAAAATATTTGAGTAAATGTACTGCGATGCCACAGTCATGATACCAGTCTCCTTAAACTTTTCTCTGAGAGATACCCGAGAGCCTAGACGGTACACAGAACGAATCGCTCGTTTTTGCAATACAAATATGGTTTGAATATCTGCCGCTTTACCCCACATGAGAATCCCGTAGGACATTATACTATGGAAGTAACTAAAGTAAACTAGTCTAGCAGTACTAACATCGGTAAGCTCACGTATTCTGCGGACTGCGTATGCAGCGGAGCTTAATCTGCTGGCCAGGGACGATATATGTGGAAACCACTGAAGTTTACTATCTAAGGTCACTCCCAAGAAGACTGCTTTATTAACAAGGTCTAACTTTTCTCCGTTTATTTCTATGCTTGGACTAGTCGATTTTACGTTAGGTAATTCAAATTTAACACATTTTGTCTTCTTGGCATTAAGCAATAAATTGTTAGCATTAAACCAATAAACTACTTTAGAGAGGGTATCATTAATACGGTCATAGTTAATGTCATGTCTGTCTGTTTTAAAAATCAAGGATGTGTCATCAGCAAACAACACTATTTCGCAATGGTCCTTAACAAAGAACGACTTTTTAGTCTTCTTTTATTATTTTTCATAGATGGCGCTACGACTAAAAAGTCATTGAAAGACCAAGTACAAAGACACGACGCAAGCAAAAATAATTGAATATCAATTCAATAAAAATTTAATTATTACTCCACTAGTTTGTTATAATTATTAATACAAAGATCGAACACTCAGAAAGAAATCCTTCGATCCGGCCGGATTCGAACCGACATGTTCTAGCTTACCGTGTCAGACGCTATACCAACTAAGCCACGGAACGAACCAGCGGACCTCACGAGTTTTTCTATGTGCTTGCGTCGTTTTCAATTCAATAAAATATTAAAATATTAATCCACAAGTTATTGAAGGAAGACGAAGACGACGATACACTAATTTTGCCAATTTCTTCCCGTGTACATAGTTTCTCCTACTATGTTGTCTCTATATCTCTCGAATCATACATACATAATCGTGGGTTTTTAGACACTAAATCTACTAAGAGTTCGTCGTCAACAAACGGGACGCGCGGCGGCGCGGCACTGTTACAGGAGTAGAGATGTCGTTGTGCGACCTCGGTCGCTTGCGTTGCTCGGCGTCGTGTAAATGACTCTTAAATACAGGTGTAATAGGGTATTAAAGTTTGTATGGGAACTTTTAACGCGTTGTGCTATTTGCTTCAATTTGGTTTGGATACTTCATATACAAAATAAATAAATACGTGTTTTGGGGTTTTTCAAAACGACATACAAAATATACCACATTCGTATCTTTGCTGTGAGTTCCCTAAACCACTTGAATAATGTTTGCTACCAAAGTAAATTTACGAACATACCGGATTCGTATCTTTGCTGTGAGTTCCCTAAACCGCTTGAATAATGTTTACTACCAATGTAAATTTACTAATATACCAGATTCGTAAGTTGACAGTGGATATTTTACTTCAACTTCGTAAGTTCTGGTACTCTAAATTAACTTATATAATTTTGGTAAGTTTGCTATGGTGTATATCAACATGATATACAGAATCGTACAATCTGAGTTCTGTAACAGTTAGTGATAGAAACATGTAACTTTTCCACAGTGTGTAATACCACAATAGCTACAGTTTTTCATCTAAATGTCAATTTTTATAAAACGGCAGATTCGTAAGTTTGCTGTGGATGTGACGATAATGATAAATACAAAGATCGAACACTCAGAAAAAATATGTACAACTAATGTAAAAATTTTAGGCGGATAAAGACGCGGACAACAGCAACTGCTTTTTAAAGTCAATTTATAAAAAAAGTCAGTAATCTCCTTTTTATTCAGCTCACGTAGATTAATTCAGATTTTACATCTAATAAGTAAAATCTCTCCAGGATAGTAATTCAATGGGAATCTTCGGATAAAATATTCACAAATGAAATTTCCAAATGAAATTAAATCAATTATATATTCAGGCTCACAGTTTTCCATTAAAAGCCGATGTGTTTTCCGACATACATATAAAGCATGTAACGTGAATTTCAAATTCAAATTAATGCGTTCTTAACAAATTATTCTGCAGACTGTGGGTTTCATGATCAAACAATTGTATGTATAAATGTTAAGTACGCAGTACAGTATTTGCTGATAAGAAGGTAAAGTAGCTACAATAATCGATATAGGTACTAACTTGTTCTCTTAGGGGATCAGAAACGTGTGAAAATCAAGGCCAATTTTTTACACCACACCTAACGTAGGAAGGAATTACATCTTCATAACGTAGCTTCTTTTCGTTATTTTCCCCAGAAACTTGATATTTTTATTTTAAATAGAAAACTATCGTGTGACTCGGACATATCAGGAACTGAGGACCACGACGGACTGATTCAAAACATGTCGAGCAAAAATTCGACATAAATAAGTGAGTTATCCGTTAATTTAGTTAATATGGTATTTTGATCCATGTTTTCACCATAAACATGGACTTTTTACTGCTAGCTGCTGTACATACCTGCAATTCCTTATTTTTTTTGCTTTATGAACAATTTATACGCACGTGTAACAAAAACTATTGATAACAAAAAATTTCAACAGAAAAAAAACTCCGAAAATACATTTTGTTTCTCATTTCTCCATATAAAATGCCCAAAAGTCATTCTAAAATTTTCAATTTTTTTACGTTTTTGAACAACACCTGTTATGCACAGGTCTGCTACCTGAAGAAAGTTTCATAGAACACAGTATCCAAACAAAGAGAGGATTGAAGGATTGATTGATTGGAGGACTTACCGTGCGACATAGAATGCGTACGTGTGCCGTTGCGCTTCAGAAAGTAAAGTGATATCTAGGACGAAGACAAGGACTTATGAAATTGTAGGCAGTCAAGAAAGTGCGAGCAGGAAATAGTTACACATGAACCAAAATTCATCTTGTATAACCAATATAATTGAAGGGCCTATGGGAAGGACGGGTTGTTCCAGTACCCGACGCAGCAGCTCCTTCACGTTCTGCAGCAATTCTTAAAAGAGGGTATCAGAGCAGGCCAACTACAGGAATTCTTCTTACCAGCACAGGTCTGAGTTCTTGTTGAAATAGGAGAGTTGCTGGGAGCGGTCGGTGATTTCCCGCACGGCGCTTTGCAGCTCGTCGACGCAGTGTGTCCAGTCCGGAGACACGCGCGCCCAACAAGAAGGCTCTTTCAGAAATTCTGCACATAAGGTAAAAATAAAAACTTTCTTTTTGATTTACATTTAAAGACTTTGAGGTCAAATTATATATTAAAATTCACAATTTCACAAAATTCAGCACTACAGTGACTAAGTTGTTTCTTAATATTTTTTCTTAGATCTTATAATTTGAAATGTACTTATATTGAAAACGCAAACAATACATTTTATGATTTTCTATTTTAAACGTTGGCTATAGCATTATAATTATCCATTTTATGAAATCATGTACACAAAGTTGTTTTTAGTAGCAATAGAGCTCCTTGAGAAAGTGTTCGTCCAGCCACGTACTGCCACTTTACGTATTTCTGCCATGAAGCAGTAATATGAGCATTATTGCATTCCGATTTTGAAGGTGAAAGCACAGGCGCGCGAAAACCTGTCAACTTTATGTCTCTGGGTGACGGGCGGAGTGGCAGATCTTTGAGATTTAAAGCTTTGAGTGGCACGGAAACTGTTATGGATAGGCCTATTGTTTACCACCAGGCCTACGACTTGTTCATCTCATCACTTGAAATCATAAAGCTAGAGAATATTAATGTAATTCCTTATTATTACTGAACTTCTTGTACTATTTGATATGATTCTTACACTGACGTCACAGTACATTTATGAATGATAATGTTATCTAAGTTAAGAAAAAGTTTAATTTTTTTATGAAAAACAGTGACAGACGAGGAATAAAAATAAACTAGCTGTTCTCGACAGTCGTCTTCATAAAGTCTCAAAGCGCAATGTATATGCTTCTATAATAAGATTCCGACTGATATTCAAAATTTGCCATTTACGACATTTAAAACTATTGTGAAACAAAAACTATATACTAAAGGTCAATTATACAACTTCTGCGCACTTGGATGGCAAAAATCCGTGGTAGGGACCCATTTAGCTCTTTCAGGTGTTCTCGATCTAAGATGTTTAAATTAAATATTGTAGTGATAAATGTATTGAAATGTATATTTACAAAGAGCAACCCCTAGAGTTTCATGCTCATTCTTCTCAGGGGAATCTGCCTTACAAATGAGCAGTAGAGTTTGCAAGAGATTTCAAGTGTAATTACCAGTAATTACCTATGAAATAAAGATTATTTGACTTTGACTTTGACTTTATCTTTCTACTGAATAATAATAACACCAATCTAGTAAAATAATTGTATCTATTAATAGTGCATAGTAATAGCACAATCTTTACACTGTGGTAATAGTGTATAGTAATGGTATATTTATTCAGTTGCTAATCCATTCTTTACTTAGGAAACGAAACTATTTTTCCGGATTTAAATATATTATATGCTTATATTAGTTTTTTCCAACAAACCAACGTTTCGGACTCTTTACAGGTCTCATGGTCACAGTTGCCTTTTACGAAAAATTTAATAAGTTAACCGCTTATTAAGAATGAGGATAATTTATCAAAAGTATTTAATAACACCACGAGAGAAGATACATAAAGAGAATATCGATTTCGACACGAAACAAAGGCATGCTCTGAAACGATATACTCGTACGTTTAACATTGTACCTACATGTTTGTCTAACAGATAGTTGTGAATATGCGAAAGGAAATTATACCCTAACATTCATCAATGTTCGACTGAGTTGGATTCCTACAACATCGAATGTAATATCGAGTTAGATATTTTTTATATATTATAATGTTCTTCAAATCGTGATTATTTTTATTAAATACTTTTATAGTTTTAATTCGTTTAAAGGTTTTTAAAATGCCTATTTAGGTTTTTTGTTTCATAGCAGCTTTGAGTGACGGTAAAGACCACCTCAGTGGTCGAGTGGCTAGCACATCGGTTTTCATGGTGTCGCCGTATCTAAGATCCAGGATTTGATCACAGGCCGGGTCAAAATAGATGAAAACTAACTTTTCTGTATTTTCTCGTGTCAGGGTATTTGTGGTACCGTCCCATAACACAAGTGCTTTAGTTACTTACTTTATGATCGGAACAACGTATGTGACGTTGTCTAATATTTATTTATTTATTTTAAGTCTAGTTTTGCCCTTGCATTAGATTGACCCTGTTCTGTTTGGAAAAGTTACGTCCACGTAAGTGAGTGCAACATTAGAATAGTGAACCGAAGTTAGATTACAAGATAAAAACAATAATAACAATATTTCATTTTCAATACCGAAATGACATTGGTAAACTTTAGTGACCGGGTGTACAGACAGTTCCAATTTCCGAAAAATAAAAGTAATAAGAGCAAAGTGGAAAAATTTGCAGCTCAGTGATCACGAGACTGAGGGCTATTGTAAGAGCCTCATAAGTAACACGACCGTAAAGAAGTCAGTACTGTTCGTTCACAACAAAAAGAAGAGAAACAGCCGCGTGTCGAGTAACAGGAATATAAATCTTCGCTTTGCAAGCCGGGCATGGACCGAGAAATATCAGTTTTTTAATCCGTTTTAAAGGCGTATAATCGTATGGAGTTCTTGAGCTATACAAACAGAGATAATTATTTAATAGAATTATTAATGACCACCAGTTGCGGACATGCAAAATTTCTACACTATATATAATGAATAAGTTATATGTACGAAAGAAGTAAGTATTTTGTTATAATGATTCAAAGTCACTTTTGTTGATTAAATTTTTCATCATTTCATCAAATTTGTCATCACTTAGTATCGCTGGGGCGTAGGGATTCCGTTTGATAAATCATGGTCACTCAATTTTCCAAGTTATTTATACGAATAGACACTTCGGGAAAGGAAATAAATAATTTATCCAGAGTGTACCTATTTCACAAGAAACTCCGTTACTATCACCTCGCAGTGGTGATAACAGGGCTCCTTTAAAGAGAGGGTTTTAAGTCATAGTTCACCAAGCTGGTCAAACCAAATCAAATCATTTATCTCTTTGCGATACACAGGTTATAAAGACGTTAAAAGAATGAATTTTGTATCACAGTGTCACACTATGAGAATAATAATAATTCTTTATTCCGGACCATAACTAAACTACTAACTAAAATACTTATACTACTAACTATAACTTGCACTATCCAATGTTTCAGGATAGGACAATCATACCTTCCCGCTATAGCATTTAGAATGCTGTTTGTACTGAGCCTCACGCGACTCATCAGCGAGACAATCTTTTTGCGCATGATGGCCTGGAAGCTATCCGTGTGAGCCACCGCAAACATACCCGATGGACTACACCAGCTTGGCAGTCCCATCAGCATTGCATTATTATATTGCACGCGCAGAGCGTTAAAGGCCCGTTTCGTATACCAAACCCACAGGCAGCTCGAGTAAAAAGATTGACTATTTATAAGCTATAAAAAAACGTTGTTTTAGGAGTCGTAGGAGCATCGAGCAAACCTGCGGGCAAGCATATTACACCGAACCGCCGACGCCTTGCACTCCCTTTCAACATCCAGATCACTTGTTAAAATATGACCAAGATACTTTATTTTATCTGTGACCTTCAACGTAACTCTATTTAACATAATAGGAGGAACATAATACGGTTTGATTTTACCCGCATTAAACACCATGGCCTCGCTTTTCTTCGGATTGTATTCTAACCCATGTGCCATGGCATACTCCTCACAAGTCTCAAGCATCTGCGTTAACGCACTGACCGACGGGCTAAGCAACACCATGTCGTCAGCATAGCTTAAGTTATTTATGCAAGTGCTTCCCACGCAACATGCAGCATGCATGCTGCTGAGCCCACCTATCAGCTCGTTAACGTGCAAGTTAAATAGCTTCGGTGAAGTAAATTCCCCGTGCCTTACTCTCCGCACTTCAGTTTGTACTCAACAGATAACATATTAGCCCAGCTAATCTGATTTTTCTGATTGTTGTACCAGTGCCTAAATAATGCCACATATTCTCCCGGTATGCCTGTCTCACTTAATTTTTGCCATTGGAGATCGTAGATGACTCGATCAAATGCTTTTGACAAGTCGAGGACACAAGCATAAACGGGGGTTTTCCTATCTGTGTAATACCTGACCGGATGCTTCAGACACAGAATCGCACTATCTGTGGATAGCCCCGCTCTGAAACCAAATTCGGCGTCGTGAAACTTTAAGTGCCGTTCCAGTATACGTATCCAGCATACGGTCAAGTAGCTTGGCGGTAGTGGTGGCAAGCGAAATAGGTCGATAATTCGTTCAGTCAGATAGGTCACTTGTTTTATTCTGAACAACCGGTACAACAATCGTCCTCATGAGTGCCTCGGGTAGGTATGAGTGGCCCACAATAGGGCATAACCTCTCGCTGCCGGGCGTGGTTGCCGCCATGCTCGGTAGCGAGGAGTTCTGGGAGGCGGTGGCCTCCTTTTGCGGGGAGGTTATGTCGCTAAAGGAGGCTGCGGACCGGGTGCGCGAGGACGCGTACCCGCTTCGGCGCAGATGTACGGGAAGAAGGCTAAGGCAGTTCGCTGCTCGCTTGATCCCCTAGTGAGGCCAGCGGGCTCTGGACAGGGACTCCGAAGCCTGCATTGCACGGTCTCACTCGTCTGGGGGGCGGGTCGGAGGACAACTGACCTGCCCCTCCGTTTTCGCGGGAGCGCTAGTGCAAGCTAAGGCGGCCGGGTGGCGTCGTGGTGAATGTGCACCACAGACATTTATCTAGACAGACGCCGCAAGTACAGCAATTTGCATGAAAACCAAGCATGCCATTTTTTGTACCCACTATGACGTCACAAGCATTATTTGGTGATGGAAACCTCCTTTAGCTCGCTTTAAATCGATTCTACATAGAATAATTCATCATTTAATAGAATAAATCAAAGTCACAATCGACGAAAAACCAAGTTTTGCAGCTGTTAAAGATTACTCCAACTTTTATTTTGCTTTTTTTGCCATAATCGCATTTCCTCGTTTACAAACAAGAAAGAAAGAAATCATGTCGGAGCGTTTGAAAAAAAAATACAAACCGGGTCTCAAATGAGGATAGAATAATTTTTGTTCAAGTATTCGTTGATTACAAGTAAAGTACTAAAGTACTAAAAAAAAAGTACTAAAGTAAGATATTAATATAGGAGAAAAATACTAGAATAAGATAGTTAAGTCCTTTATTTTAATTATTTTAAAAAAATTTTGATTACTTCAAAAAATCAAGACTTTAATTTTTAATCTAAAAAAATGAAGACTTTCATTTTTAGTCGAAAAAAATGAAGACTTTCATTTTTAAACGACTTCAAGTATACAAATTTTTGTCCTTCCAATAAAATTAGCTTATTATACAACATCTTTTTGTACTTTTGTTCTTATCGATTAACTTAAATAATGAAAACGCACGTCAATATATGAACCGCGACTGCCTTAATTAATTTTACTTGATGGCTTTCTGTTGGTAATTGATCAAATTGATGAATGGCAAGACAAATGAAAATGTTACTGCTGACAAAATATGGTAAAATCTTAATAATCAGAAGAGGTTTACTTAATGAAGGCCTCGTGTTAAATTTTTGTGATTATTTCTCGGATTTCTAACTCTGCTACTCTGCATACTTGGATAGCATCTTAGAAGGGATAAACTAGACCACCTTCGTCCTCGAAAGCAACGAACTCATACGTATGACCAACTCCAGATTTTTGTGAAGACAACGTACTGTTAATTCTTTGCATTATATATATTTTTTATTACTCGTAACACATATCCGGCGATGTATGTAATCATTTGCTCACTATATTCGGACATTCGAGGCAACGTGCTGCAAAAATTATCGAAATTACAGATACTACTGCTAACAGGTACTACAAAACTGAAAAAAAAAAACGAAACGTTACTAAACGTTATAACAAAAGAGTTATACAATATTTTTATGATATTGCGAAGGTCATAATAATTTACGTCTCTTTGTTTTCAAAATCGATCAAAATCGAGAACAGTGTTGCCTAAAGTATATATCACTAAATGTTAAATTTGGTCAAAGAAATGTACAAGCGGCAGCACAACGTACTGACTGAATGCATTATACAAAAGTGTGTTCGTTCGTTATTCATGGCGTATTAACAACGGATCACAAATATATCGCACCAAGTAAAAGCCGCAATGTATTACAAATCATGAGGCATACACTCGGTTGCATATTTGTTTTCTCGAAATTCATACGAAACCAAAATAATTGTTTTAAAATAAATTATGCATCTTCTGATTATAAAATCACTTGCCCGTGAAAGGAAACTTTCCTGTTTACTCGTTTATTATTATTATTTATTTGAATTTAAGAAAAGGGGGGACCATATATTTAAATAAACATAGTCCTACAAAACTGTATATACAGTTTGACTGCAGGATTATGGTGCTTTTGCAGTGTAAAATGGCACAAATACGCATTTTTCGCGTTTTCGACTGGTGTTTATCTACGATAACGGATTTAACAGTAAAATGTTTTCTAAAGGTCTCCGTAATTTCACTACAGTCAGACTTGTCCCTCATAGTCACAGGCAGGCCAGGCTTTACATTCATTTGTTAAGTTTTATTCCAAAAGTCGCCAAATTTTTTAGCTCTATGAGTCAGAGCTAGATTGTTCGATTTAAATTAATCCTGCCTGTCCCGACACCGCTTGAGCTTGACTTTAAGACCTTTTTCGTATGACGCATTTGTTCGAAAACTTGACCACACGGTGGTTTTCCTGCAAGCTCCCATAGTTGAAACTGTAACCTGCCCTCACTGTGAGCTTCAGCGACATATGTATTCCACCCTGCTATACAGCGACAGATAGAAGCATTAGAAAGGGTGGCTATAATTTTACTGTACAAGTTATCAATAATTTTGAAGTGAAGTACCGTCACAGCAGTCCTTAAGAGTGTCCGGAAAGTCAATGTATTTAAGCTTACTGTTACATATCCTATTATATTCATTGATTTGATATATTTGCCTGTCCCATTATGTAAATAATTGTTACATATATTCTTTACAGGTTTCAATGAATAATATTACATTCTATAAGCACAGGGAAATGATCGGACCAAAACACATCATACATAAGTATAATCATGCAGTTCAATTAATCACAACCTAATACTAATAAAACATAATAACACTTACAAAATGTAATAATAACCGATTTAATAAGTATGTCTAATAATAAAAAAAATAGAACACATGAAATGTAAATTTTATAAGAAAACTTCAAAATTGTAGAATGTCATATCATTCAGGAAATTAAAGAATACATTTTTAAATTCTGCACATTTATTGCAATTGTACGTGAAAGTTTGTTGTAGACCTTTGTAGTAACATGTACACTTACTCTTATTATATTACTATTACACCCTTTTAAAGTAGAGCCGTTTTATATGGCCTATTAGAACGGCGCTCCCGATTGGTCGAATATCTGTTTGGGACTTCACATATCTCGAAGAAATTTTTCATCAAGTATAGTTTTGCTTCAAGTTGTGAATTTCAACTAATGTGAAATATTTTCGTGATAATCTATATCTTTTTTTTTAGTCCGTGCAAATTTCTACCTCAATCTTGAACTGTATTAACATCCGTGCAAATCGTCCGACTGCAGATCAAGCGGAATACTCTGCAAGCTATTTAGCTAATGCACTCACGTGCTCAAATACGGGCTCGCGATTTATCGCAACTCGAAGGCTTAAAAGCTCTACGTGACTATATCGCTTGCATTTTGCATGAAACAAACGTATTCTGTGATTGAATTTCTGTAAAACACTAGACTACATTAAGTGCATACCCACTTTCAGTATACTATTGAGTCTTCTCAGTCTCCAATGTCGTATTTTAAAAGTTGTGTCGCGTTTTGTCGATTTAATAATAAATTTATTTCATCATGATCATAATCATACCTTTATAACAAAATAGCTAACTAAAACTAAACTAGTTGCAATAACGAGTTCTTAAGTTTTGGCGCTTGTTACATATAAGACATGAAACATTTTGTAGTAAAGATACATGTACGTGGGACCTATACGAGTAGAAGGTTCGAAATGTTTGGTTTGTTTAAAAAAAAAAAACAAATATACGCGATGTAGATCCGAAAAAATGGTTCCATTTCCAAGGTGCAATAAGATAAGATTGTAGTAAATTCAAAAACGAATTATCCCATACCAGATAAAAAATAAATGTAAATGGGTAAATGGGGCCAATATTAAGAAAATATTGTCATGACTTATGGACAATTTGTTGAGAAGATTTATATTCGAGGATATGCATTTTTGCATAGACCTTTAACCTCGCAGGCTAGCCTTACGCCTCCAATCTTATTCTTATTAACCTTGCGAAGTTATCAAGCCGATTGTTGTATCAGTACATTGACATTAAAATTAAATAAACATTTATAGGACACTCTAGGAAACACCAACTGATTTATAGTAAGTACGTAAAAACAAATTGTAATGCATGTAGGTTAAGGTGGGAAACTAATTAAAGTGCTAAAATCTTATTATCAAGATTATAACTTTAGAATAGTAAGCTAAACAATTGTACTTTTAAATAGAAATAAACAGATTATATTTAAATTATATTTTTTAATTTTTTTTTACCTACAAATTCAGTTGTAGAAAAAAAAAATAGAAGTACTTGCCTCTTCTTAACGCAGTTTCATTGGTGCAAAGGAACCGCATAAGGGCGCGGGCGCCGCCGATTTGCTGATGTACCAGTTTTTGCCCGTCTGTGGGTAGGCATCGCTTGATCCACGAGTCCATACATGCCATGCCCGTTTGGTAAGCTCTGCACAAAACACACACATGTATTTACAAAATTGAATAGTAATGTAGTACGTCTGTAGTATGGTTGCGACTTACTTAATCTTAAAGTTCCTACTCAGAACAAAATATTACACGTCATTTTTTGAAATTATACTAGGAGCAAAACATTGCTCTTCAGAATGGGTACGGTTCTTTCATATAACAAAATATTCTTTACTGCGTCAGGTGATGAAAATAATAATACCTGGGGCGCACTATAAGTTTCTGGAATGAATAAGAAAAAAATACCATAAATGGTCAGAAATGAATTTATTGCTTCTCAAAATATTGTCCGTAATCCGTTAATGCACTTTTTCACACGAATGAACCAATTTTGAAAACATTTATGCCACTCCTCCGTGACAATCTCTGAAACATATTTTTCAAACTCCTCGACAGCCTCTTCAAGTGATGAAAATCGTTGACCGCGTAACTGGTTCTTTATTTTTGGAAATAAATAAAAGTTACAAGGTTGGCACCTTCCCGCGCGGGATGGCTCACAAGGTCAACGTAGTTCACCCTCAAAAATTCATTTATCTGTCTGGCCGTGTGAGAACTGGCATAATCGTGGTGCAAGACAATACGGCTATTTTTAAGGAGTTTGTCAATAACTTCCGGCAAACAAATGGTCGTATACCAATCACTATTCAAATTCAAATTCAAATATATTTATTTCAGATAAAAATTCATATAGTGTTATAAACAAAATAACTTAAGATCTAGCGTTAGTATTAATTAATTTTATATAATTTAAATAATTAAAATTTTATATAATTTAAAAGGATCCATCTACGCAGAAGTGGCTACCCAAATATTATATAATAAATTTAGACACCCTGGACAAAGCTGTGCCACAAAGTGATACTTCAGGTATTTGTGTATAGTACATAGCGGCTGCTTTAAACACCATGAATTATCTTTTCTTCACATTATATTTGAGGCCGTGAGAAACAGCATAAGCCTTACACGTGTGTAACAGCTTCCTTAGACCACCTATAGATGGACTCAACAGCACCATGTCGTCGGCATAACTTATATTATTGATGCAAACACCATCGATATGACAACCCACCTTAGTGCTATTGAGTTCGTCCGTTAGGTGGTTCACATAAATGTTAAAGAGGCGAGGCGAACTCAAACCACCTTGCCTCACACCACACTCTAATGCGTACACATCAGAGTAACAGCCAGCCCATCTGACGCTAATCCTCTGACTACTGTACCAATATTTAAATAATGAAACACTTAGGGAGCTACAGTGGTTTCATGCTGAAGTTTTTTCCACAGGATGTCAAAACACACTAGATCGAACGCCTTCGACAGATCCAAAAAGCTGGCAAACATTGGCGTTTTTCTAGATATATTCACGGTACAACGATTCTCCAAAGCAATAGTAGCCACGTGTCCAGTTTTATTAAAAAAAGAAGCAATCATCCGCTTAGAGGCACTTTGCATGCGCGCCACTTTTATTGGTTTCGGCTCATCTCGAAAGACCTATACGCTCGATTGCTGCTTTGTTTTGGGATCGTAACTATAAATCCATGTTTCGTCACCTGTTACTATGTCACACACCAAATTTGACGCATGGTATTGCATCAAGTGACGCGATCCATTTTTTGAACCTCAGTCAAATTGTGTGGAATCCACTGAGAGTACATCTTTTTCACACCCAACTGTTTGTGTAGTATTGATTGTATTTGACTCATGCCTATCCCTAAAGTTGCCCGAATCTCATGATATGTCACATGCCTATCTGTTTTGATTATACGGCGCACGGCATCGATGTTTTTGTTGTTCACATCAGTGGACGGGCGACCATCACGAAATTCGTCACAGAGATTCACTCGACCGCGTTTGAATTCTGCAAACCAGCTATAAATAGTCATCTTGCATGGTGCTTCATCGGCAAAAGCAGTTTGAAGCAGTTTGAAGCAGAGCGAAGCTCCGCTGAGCTCTTAAATTACACTTAAAGTCGTAGAAAATCATACTACGAAAATGCTCACGAGTTAAATCCATGGTGATGTAGACATCCAATTTGTAAAATGACGCCACAATGTCAACAAAAAAACAAGCGAAAGTTAGATGAAACAAATTGTATTCTATAGCCAAAGAGTTCAATTTTGAAATGTTGTAATTATTTTTTAAATATTGATTATATAAGTGGCCAGTTCCGGAAAACTTTTATTGCGCCCTATGTAATGAATTGTCTTACTCAGAAACGAGGTATGTCTTAGTATAGCAATGAGGTTACCCTAACGCATTACTACAGTAATATAAATTTTAGAGAATGATTGCTTCACGTTAATCCCAGCTCCAAGTTAATATACAAATGTAATGCACAGTACAGGTAAAAGGTAATGATACTATCTTTAATAATATTGGGTTAAATTATTATGGCATATTTTCTAAAATTACAATGAGTTAAAGATATAAAATGTGATCACGAAAACAGATCGTACTACTACTTTTATTAAATGTAATTTGGTTCTTTATAACACAAACTTCGGAAGTTAAAATTGATCAGCATCCACTTTTAAACAGAGTTATATGTTCTTATTTAGATCAAGATGAACATAAAATATAAACGGATGTCTCTACTGGCGTCTCGTATTCTGCACAAAGCCATAAACTTTTATGCTTAGATAAATAAGGGGTAAAAATGGGTCGGCCATTCAAAATGTCTTCAGGTAGGTAAGACAGTTCAATTACTTTTTAACGTCTCGGTTTATGAGGATCGCAGTAGATCAAGTTCATTCTACCAAGGTTTGTCGTATTCAATTTTCTTGCAAAAAGAAATCTTAAATTATCTATCATTTGCTCAGTTTTAATGGGCGGTTTTAAATAATACATGACTAGCATAGTTATTAGTTGAACGCGGAATCTCATACATTTAACAAATAGATCAACGCTTGGCCGCAACCTCGTCAGATATTAAACGACGATGTGGCCAACTATGTTACGGGTTTGAATAGTAAAGAGGTATCTGTTCACTTTAGTTGCCTTGAATTGTAGCTTTCGAGAAACTCAGGTGTGCATACAATGTATTATGTGGTTTACACCATTCATTTGCCATATACATCAGGAAGGATGAAGCGAAACGTTTCGTGCGAGTAAGTGGTACCGAGTGAGTGCTGCGGACTTTCTAAGTAGACCTGTCACACTAAGTACTGGGGCCTTACCATGAGATCTTATTACAGTTCAGTATAGGTTCGTAACGACAAAAAAGCGGGATGGTTATATACACTTCATGTAGCGCTGTCTCACAACGACTCATTTTAGGTCCTAAAGTGAATCGTAACAACAGTTCATGGTAAGGCCTCAGGTCTTTGAAGAAAAGGTGGTCGCATGCTTATTATCGATCGATTGCGGTGTCATATCGGCAGTGTCGATGTCCGTTGATAAGAAATCATGGTATATGAGCGCTAAGGCGAGCGGCATTGTATGGAGAGGTATAGGTATGTATATGTTTTTGCAGTTACGGATATGTCGAAATGTTTATAAAAAGTCGAATCTAAAGTCTATTCTATTCACAAAACAATAAATACTGTAGAAATACTTAGTGGGCGTAACACGTGTGCGAACAGTACGCGGAGTTCCGCATAATTGAGCTCAGCCCAACATCTCCAATTTGTAATTTATTTTTTTGATTTTTGTTATAAAGTAAACCTTAACCGAAAGTAAACCTTACACCGCTGCAATAAGGTCGACATTTTTTTGGAAGAACGTTAATGTGCGTAAATCATTTCATCATTCGTCGTCTTTCAGCTATTGCCGCTAGATGGCAGAATGTTAAATTTCAAAATAAAATCAAAACGTCGTAATCTGCTATGATAGGTATTGAACTTTCAACGTTATGCCAACAGGGAAAAGTTTAAATTACTTTAACAGTCCAAAATTTGTTACACCTTTTTAAATTAGACACTACGACCAATTATCAAAATTTCACAGTGTTTAACATTATAATAGTGTGGGGTTTGGCGACAGCGGTTTTGATGGTAACCGAGGCTTAAAGCCCTGCTATTGGTTTTTTTTTCTTCCGTGACCTTCTCACATAATTATTTTTTCTGCCGGGCAACTCGTCCGTCCTAATAGGTAAATTTCGATATTTTGAGACGAGAATTGGATGAATCTAATGTACACCAATTGTACTTGTCAACCACGTGTAATCTAATATTCCACTTTCAAACATTCCAAAACTCATAGGTTACCTGACAGTTTAAATTGTGTTTTAGGGAGAGCTTATATTGAACTCTTTAGATACACCCACAGACCAAATGATACACCTTATGTCTATGACCAGAGTTAGATGAACATATATGGAATCCTCACTAAATAACATGGGCACTATAACAAAACAGAGCACTGTTAAAAGTTTGACTTCATTGTCTGTCAATCCATTTGTTCGTCCAACCATCCGTCCGCCCTCCAAGAATCTAATTGACCCATTTTACTGCTTTTAAAACTTCATATTGTGTTTATTCTGTAATCTTTTACCAGCGGAATAGCAGGCGTACTTCACGGTACCATCCAAATTCGCTTGATATTCAAAATATTAGAACGCGCTTCGTATCATCCCTCTTATTGTACATATAACCCTGACATAAGAATAGAATACACAGGCTTCTTCTGATTAATCTCGCTCCATCGTCGACCTCGTCATGACTTAATAGTATAGATTGCGGCTCAAAACGAACCCATTTTTATTTCAATAAAACAATTTTGTTTATTCTACTGTTTCACGAGCGTTTTTGTACGACCGGTACGATAATATCTGGATTTATTTGCATGATTCGTTTCACATAGATTAGGTTCACCCTTCGTTTTGTTGGATTTCTTCTTAGTTGGTTGGATTTTGTCCAAACTTACACATGCAATATTTTTTTAAACTTTTGCATTATATTATACTTACTAACTTTGCCTGCAGAGATAAACGCAATGAAATCGATTTAATAGATGTTTGCACACTACCTTTTATCCCAAGATTTAAGCAACAACTACACTAGGTGTGCACGGGCACATCAATAGGGACAAAATACCGATTACATTGAATTTATCGCACTTATTCCCATTTGCAATATTGTTACGAATATATTCTTCTTAAATATAAAATTTATATCCGAATTTAATGCAGAACAATGTCATGAATGAAAATCAATTCGCTTTCAAACATAAGATTGATAACATTTCTGTTCGGTACATATGAAAATGATTTTCTTCCATATATTTATTTCAAGCTCGTTGCCTTTTGTATCCACAGACAAAAGTAAGTATATTAAAGGAACACGTAAACTCATACTACACCGTTAGTGTAGTGAGTGGCATAGAGGTGATTTAAAATCGAGTACTCTCGAATGTACATAAATAAAATATGGAAATTGATTCAAATTACTGAAATAGCAACTCAGAAAAAATGCAATGTTTGGTAGATGATAATTAAAAGTTATATATGTAGGGTTTTAATTAAATCACTTTACACCCAAAAGTGGTGATTCCACCCGTTGCTTCAATATTTATAAGTCCGGGAAAAAGGATAACTATTTATTAAACCATATATTAAATGTACCACTCCACTTGGCTAAAACATACTTAACAGCTAAATTGTTTTTGCCCATTTCAGAGGGATCCCTGTAGTCGAAGTAATTTGTTGACTATTATACTAATAGTGGAATCACCATCTTCGGATGTAACGCAATTAAGTTAACCTTGGCTAAGTGATTCCATTATAAGCTTCTTAATTTAGGCTTAAGAAACTTTATGAACGCTTATTTTTTAGATATACAAATCGAATCAAAAATTTTATTTCAAACATTGTCCATATCGTGTTAGTTACAAAAAACTAAGGCCTGTTCAGACATAAGCGTAAGAGACCGTCATTAAAAATAAACCTCTTCTGATTAATAAGATTTTACCATATTTTGTCAGCAGTAACATTTTCATTTGTCTTGCCATTTATCAATTTGATCAATCATCAACAGAGAACAATCTAGTAAAATTAATTAAGGCAGTCGCAAGTTCATATACTGACGTGCTTTTTCATTATTTAAGTTAATCGATAAGTTAAATAGGCGCCTTGACGTCGAATTGCGGACACCAGCCCGTTACACCAAGTACCAAGTAATCGATAAGTTCTTCCATTACAAAAGGACGTTATATAATAAGCTCTTTTTACTGGAATGACAATAATTTTAATATTTAAAGTCGATTAAAAATTTTATTAAACTTATAATTTTTTTTTACTATTATTTTTTTTTAAAAACAAGTAAAATAAAGGACTAAACTATCTTATTCTAGTATTTTTCTACTATATTACTGTTGTTTTTTTCAATTCTTTACGTAAAGGAAAAGGCAAAGGCATATAATATAATATAATATAATATAATATAATATAATATAATATAAT